TTTACCTTTAATGCATTCTATGGATTAAGATAAATGTTCTCTGCTGTTGGATCCCCCCCCTCCCCCAGTCCTCGCCCTTATTCTTACCTGAGCTCCAATCCAATGATGTGCACGAGAGCAGTGGCTCTTGCTGCTGTCCCCCTCCCCACTTGGCAGATTGATAGCCGCAAGAATCATTGACTTTGCCAATGTCAAACAAAAGCTGTGACAAGGGAGTGGGGGAGAGGGGCTGAACCTTCTATCAATAGATACAGACAGGGTAGCTCAGGAGCAAGCCTACATGGGTGCCCCCATGGAAAGCCACTTTCCATGGGGGCACTTGCCAAAGAGGAGGATCCTGGAGTGCCGGAAGGGGACTCCAGAAAAGGTGGATCAGGGCTGCCGTGTGCAAAACCATTGCATAGAACAGTTAAAGTATATCATGTTTTGTTATTCAAAAAAAACTGAAGGTTTATTTTTACTTTAAAGAATATGTAAACCATTGCTTCAATAACAGATACTTTGTGGTGGCTCAGCAAGGGAGTGTAGCATAGCCCTGGTATGAATGGGCCCTCGCTGACCTCCAATGTCTGGGAAGGATGGGGGTTGGGTGGGGTTATCCACTGACCACCAATGACTTGTCCTCCCAATGACCAGCAGATAGTGTACTGTGATGCCATTTATTGTGGATGCTCTCCAATGCACCTTCCCAGAACAACTTGGTGCATGTCCAGTTTGTAGTCTCAACGCAACACATATGACATAATGTGCATTAAATGCACCACAGCAGATTGCCCCCGGTGTGTATGGACCCTAAAGGTACCCACACTTCTTCCCAGGCATTGGTAGTCAATGCATTAGCCCCACTCCCTCCTTTGGCAGACTGTCCAGAAGTGAAGGAAATCTACACTGGCAGCAGAAGGGGGGACATAGATTGAAAAATATGTGATGATCTGTAGAGTGCTAGACATTTATGCGAGAGTAATGGGGGGGTCAATGAGTATGCAGTCCGTGGACAGAGCAACCTGCACAAAAATAGGCCTGGGTGTGGCAACATAGTCCAGAATGACCATTCTCCCACTTGTTCGCAGGAACAGCTGGGCACTGGGATTCTGTTGAAACCCCGGGACAATCCAGTGGAACCCAACACAATTGGGAAATGAGTTTTCATGCAGTGCCGGCTTTACCAATTGGTAGCTCCTGAATTTCAGTGCCTGCCCTCCCATTTGAAATAGCTAGATCAGCATGTTGGCGAAAACTCCATTTCCAAATGGTCTCTCCCCATCTTAAGCTGACATTTGTCATCCCCAGGACCATGACTTGAATGAGCTATGAGAAACCGGCACAGCTACCACAATGCAAGCAAGCCATGAGAACATTTCTATTTATTGTAATTTATGGTTTAAAGCTGTTCATCCGGTAATGTAATAGTCTGTTCTGTATTTTATTGGTAATTTAATTGCTAAAAGGAAAACATTTGTTCTGTCTTTTTTTTTTTTTTTTTTTTTGTAACAGATTTTATTTTAACTGTTGCTTAACTGCATTTTTTATATACCTGTATAGTCATATGCAGATGTGCAAGTTGTACAGTGCTGGCTTCTACTAAATAAAAAAAAAAAAAAAAAAAAAAAAAGAGCTCACTGTTTAAATATCCAAAGTATTTAAAAACCCAGGGGCTGACTCTCTTTCAGCTATAACTAATATATCACTTTTGCTGTCAGCAGCTACATTTGGGGTAAAGGTACATTGATCCCACCACAAAAAACTGGCTATTCCAATGACCAGAAAAGCTAGTTCTTGATACAGGGATGTTGAATTTGTTTCGCCCGGGTGTGTGTGTGTGTGTGTGTGTGTGTGTGTGTGTGTGTGTGTGTGTGTGTGTGTGTGTGTGTGTTTGTGTGTGTGTGTGTGTGTTGTGTGTGTGTGTGTGTGTGTGTGTGTGTGTGTGTTGTGTGTGTGTGTGTGTGTGTGTGTGTGTGTGTGTGTGTGTGTGTTTTTTTTTAAGCCCTGCTGCAGACAACGAACAGGGCTCACCTGTCAGGTGGAAGCATTCAGGTGGCAGGGCTACTGTCGCTTGCTTCCACAGAGTGCCGGCCTCTTGTCACACCCCCCAGGTGTGTGAAACCTTCCCCACCCACTGTCTCCCGGGGCTCCGCTTGCCCATCTGCGGGTTCGGGACCAACTCACCGCCGTCGGCTAGAGGAGTGGGAGCAGAGTGGACACGTCCTGACCAGACGTGACGTTATGATGTCACTTCCAGGTCCCCGTTGAGAGATTCATGTATGTAATGGGGTGCAATGTACAGGGGAGACATCCAGGGTCTTTTAAACCTTGGAGGTCTCAGAGAACCTGTTATCAAAAATCATCACATAGTCCCCTATGTGATGGAAATATATATTATTATTATTTTTTTTTTTTAATTGTAGAAAAGGAAAGTTACACCCAAGAACATAACATCCCCCCCCCCCCCCACATATACGCACGTACAAATGTAAAAACACATTCTGGGGTGCCCACGCATGAAAATGTTGATTGTGATGCACATGTTACATATCACCGCAAATGCCAGAATGAGAGCAATAATTCTAGCACCCGACCTCTTCTGTCACACTAAACTGATGACCTAAAGGAGCTTTAAAAGTGTCGCCTACAGAAAATATAGGGTACTGAAGTTCGTCGCCATTTCACGAGCGCGCACAAATTAAAGGTTTGACGTGTTGGGTATCTATTTACTCGGTGCAACCTCATCTTTTATATTTTACAAAAAAAGTAGGGTAATTTATTGCGCTTGTGCGCTAAAATTGACTTACTTGTATTTTTTACTGAATATCATGCGACATAAAAAATTGGAACTACCACAATTTTATTCTCCAGGGTCTCTGTTTTCAGAAAATATATAATGTTTGGGAGTTTTCTGTAATCTTCAGGCCTAAAATAATTTTTTTTAAACGTGTGCAAAAAGTCACCATAATGCCCCTTTTTGTTTTTAAAAGCCCCAGACATTCCTAAAATCGCCTCCAATCTAAATACGGTTTTGGTTAAAATGTATTTTTTTTTTTTTTTATCTGGATAAGTAGATTGTCATGAGGGACAAGTAGATTGGGACACCAATTTAGTCCCCAAACAAGTAGTTTTCAAAAATTTCTACATCCCTGTGATGCCAGCCATAGTTTAGAGCCTACATTGTAAGAAGTTACTTTTTCACATAAACTGTACATTATGAGAAATTATTTAGCTCATTCCTGATTTTTTTTTTTTTTTTTTTTTTGGTGTGCATATTTGTCACACTAAAATAGATCAGATCATCAAACAAAATTTAATATTACACAAAGATAACCTGAGTAAATACAAAATGCAGTTTTTAAAATGATTATTTCATTTATTAAGGGACTAAAACACTGTCCAAACCTGCCTGTCCCTATGTGAAACAGTATAATTGCCCCCTAAACCTAATAACTGGTTGTGCCACCCTCGGTGGCAACAACTGCAGTCGCGCATTTGCGATAACTGGCAATGAGTCTTTCACATTGCTGTGGATGAATTTTGTCTTCTTTGCAGAATTATTTTAATTCAGCCACATTGGAGAGTTCTCGAGCATGCTAGTTTAAGGTCATGCAGCAGCATCTCAGTCAGATTTAAGTCCAGACTTTTGACTAGACAACTCCAAAACCTTAATTTTGTGGGTTTTTCCATTCAGAGGTGGACTTGCTGGTGTGTTTCAAATCATTGTCCTGCTGCATAACCCAAGTGCGCCTGAGCTTCAGGACCCGAACTGATGACTGGACATTCTCCTTTTAGGATTTTTTGGTTGGGTACAGAATTCATGGTTCCATCAATTATGGCAAGTTGTCCAGGTCCTGAAGCTGCAAAGCATTTCACTACCACCTCCATGTTTGTTGATATGATGATCTTTTTATGAAATGCTGTTTCAGATGTAACAAGACACACACCTTCCAAATAGTTCAAATTTTGACTTCAGTCCACAGAATATTTGCCCAAAAGTCTTGGGGATAATCAAGATGTTTTTTGCCAAATGTGAGATGAGCCTTTGTGTTCTTTTTGGTCAGCAGTGGCTTTCGTCTTGGAACTCTCCCATGGGTGCCATTTTTGCTCAGTCTTTCTTGTTGTTGAATGATGAACACTGACCTTAACTGAGGCAAGTGAGGCCTGCAGTTCTTTAGATGTTCTGGGTTCTTTCATAATCTCCTGGATGAGTCGTTGTCGTGCTCTTGGAGTAATTTTGGTAAGCCCGCCACTCTTGGGAAGGTTCACCACAATTCCAAGTTTTTCTCCATGTGATAAAGACTCTCACTGTGGTTTGCTGGAGTCCCAAAGCCTTAGAAATGGCTTTGTAACCCTTTCTAGGCTGATGCATGTCAATTACTTTTTCTCATCTGTTCTTGAATTTAGATTGCGGCATGACGTGTTGCTTTTTGAGATCTTTTACTGTGCTTCACTTTGTCAGACAGCTTCTATTTAAGTGATTTTTTTGGATTCAACAGGTCTGGCAATAATGTGGACTGGGTGTGGCAAGTGAAATTTTACTCAGCTTTACAAAAAAATGTGTTTAATCACAGTTCATTCATGGTTTAGCAAGGAGGGGGGCAATTACTTTTACACATAAGGTCAGGCAGGTTTGGACAGCTTTTTTTCCCCTTAATAAAAGCTGCATTTTTAATTTATTTGAGTTATCTTTGTGTAATATTAAAATCTGTTTGATATGAATCATTTAAGTGTGACATTCAGGAAGGGGGCAAATACTTTTTTAAACCTGGCTGCAAGCCCAGTGGATTTAGGGAAACATTGGCATTGTTAATCAGTAAAAATGTAATATGCCTGCTATTGGCACTCATATTTCCGTGTTGTTTTTCAGATGTCACAACTGCCATTTGGAGAGAAGCACTGTTTCCTTATATTAAGCTATGCAACTGAAAATGAAACATCCAGGACCATTTCCTGTGTCTGACATCTCAGGAAGAAGCAATATTTGGGTGTAAGCTGTGTATCTTGGGAGCCATACCATGTATTTAACATTCTCCAGAAAATCTGTGTCACAGAAACTGAGCATTTTACTTCTTGCCTTTGGTTTTGTTTGGGGATTGATGTTGCTACGCTACACGTTTCAGTATCCTAGGCATCAGAGCAGCTCAGAGCTCCGACAGCAGATATTAGACCTGAGCAGAAGATATGTCAAGGCCTTAGCTGAAGAGAATAAGGATCTTGTAAATGGTGGGAATGCAGGATCCATGGCAGGATATGGTAGGTAGACGAGAAACTTGTTTGACATTTCATTAATCCTGAAATAAAAGTTGCATTTTAGCATTTATAAATGATATGGCATCCAGGAACAACACATGGTGCTATAACGTGATGGAACAGGATTAAACAAATCTAAAGGTCTGTAATAATAAAATGCAACAGTGAGCGCTCTATAATATAAGCAGCTGAACATTCAAGGAAACCACATAAAACCTTATGAAAATAGCATAAAATATAAAATGCAGCGCTAAAAGGTCAAATAAAAGGTACCAATAATAAACAATCAATGATTAGTGAAATTAATTCCTGTGATGGTGCTTCCTACGTTCCCACTGCATATGGTATAAATGCGCACTAACCAGACGCCCTTGTGTGGTGAAGATGGATCCGGAGTGCCAGAGATCCCCTTTAGGGATATGTGGGTAAGAAATCCTGGGTGACAAGTCATTCCCCTCTCTGGAGCTGATAGGTGGATCACAGCAGGGCTTTGAAAGTGGAAACGTTCCTCACAGGAGACCAAGGGAAATACTCATAGTGTAGTATTATTGGTAGAAGCTTTATTTAACAAAAACGGTAGGTATATGGGTGAAATAGGTCACAACAGTGTCAGATACATGCGAGTGACTGAGCATCCAAAATCAAAGATGGCCGCCGGGCCTCCATGTGGCACCGGCGGCGTGATGTCACGACATCCTGGGCTCCACCTAAATCTAAAGGTCCAAATGGCCAATATACCAGAAAACTATTTTTTTCATATAGGACTCAAAGTACATTCCACATTCACAGTTAAATGTAATTGTTGGATTATCACACATTGAGGCTGCCCATAAAACATCAGAAACCTGGTACCTGCTCTTCATCCAGACTGCCTTCAACTAGTGGAAAGGGTTGTTGTAAGTAGTTGATTACTAGTCAGTACACTGGTACTGACTAGTAATCCTGATGGTTGAGCCACATTTTTACCACCCCCGCTTAAGTTGCAAAGGCAGCCAGAAGGGTTTGTATACTTTCCATAGCTGTGACTCTTTGCTTCTCACCCCTATCTCAACCCCCCCCCCCCCCCTGTCTTGTTGGTGAGCTGTACCACCCATGGAAGGCAACCTCAGATGCTATCTGAAAGGGAATCCACTGCAAATTGCCCTTCAGAAGGCAATGTTTATGCAAACGAGCCCTAAGAGTCAGTTTCTGACTTTAAACGTACATTTTATAGAGTATTTGAGTACTATGGGTGTGCCTTGTACTGTATGTTTACTCTGGCTGCACAATGTGTTCTAAAGCTTCTACTGATAGTCTATGTTCCTTTATATTCATTGGAGCACAGTGGAGACAGGCAGGGTCTTTTAAAGTGTTGCCTACAGAAAATATAGGGTACTGAAGTTTGTCGCCATTTCACCGATACACGCAAATTTTAAGGTTTGACATGTTGTGGTATCCATTTACTCAACACAACCTCCTCTTTTATATTTTACCAAAAATTGGGTAATTTATTGCGTTCTTGTGTCCCCTTAAAATTAACTTTAAAATTAACTTTAGTGTGGTTTTTTTTTTTTTGTTTTATTGAAATTTTTGCATTTCCTAGACCTTTACGGTAATGTCCTGTGACTTTAAAAAACTGGAAATAATACTATTTTATTCTATAGGGTGTCTGCTTTTAGAAACTATAGAATATTTTGGAGATTTAATATTATCTTCAGGCCTAAAATGATTTTTTTAAACGTGAAAAAAAAGGCTCTGGCAGCGAAAGGGTTCACCTCCAGGCAGTGGTGTATTTAGGTTTTCTGCTGCCCTAGGCAACACAAAAATTGAACGCCCTCCTCCCCGGCGTAGAGAGCCTGACCAACACCAGACCCCACCCCCCCCCCCACGGAGAGAGCCTGACAGTGACCAACAACACCCCTGCCCCATCACCCCCCCCCCCCCACCCACCGAGAGAGCCTTTCACTAACACCCACCTCCCTGGCGACAAAGAGGCACTCACCTTTACAGTTCTGGACATCCCTGGGTACGACAGTTGTGCTCTGCATACACCATCAAGCAACCCGCAGCCTCTTTCAGATCCCATCTTGTCCCCATGCTGCATATGTCCCTTCTTCCAGGGGGCATTGCTGCCCCCCTAAAAAATGCCGCCCTAGGCAAATGCCTTGTTTGCCTTGTGGTAAATACCTGCTTCCAGGAATATGTTTGCAATATAACATGTATCTTATCCTACAGCGGCTCTGCAATCCAAGCCCTGTGTCACACTGACAGTCTACAGGAGTCCTGCATTAGAGATGAGCGAATTATTCAAAAATTCGATTCGGCTGATTCGCCGAATTTGCGGGAGAAATTTGATTCAATGCAAATTTATTCTCTGCGAATTTAACTTATTAAAAGGGTTTCTAGGCTTCAGAGAGCCTTTATATTAGTGCAGAACACTGTACCTTTAATTTAAATGCCCTTGGAGTCTGCTGGGGAAGAGAAATAATACTGTCAGTCAGTATGACATGCAGATGAGTGCCGTCGATCTTAGAATCACCGCACACTTCACTCATTTGGGCAGTCACAGGGCACGACGAAGAAGAAGAAGAAGAATGAAAGAAGAAGAAGAAGAATGAAAAGAAGAAGAAGAAAAGAAGAAGAATGAAAAGAAGAAGAATGAGAAGAATGAAAAGAAGAAGAATGAAAGAATGAAAAGAAGAATGAAAAGAAGAATGAAGAAGAAGAAAAGAAGAAGAATGAAAAGAAGAAGAAGAATGAAAAGAAGAAGAAGAAGAATGAAAAGAAGAAGAAGAAGAAGAATGAAAAGAAGAAGAAGAATGAAAAGAAGAAGAAGAAGAAGAATGAAAAGAAGAAGAAGAAGAATGAAAAGAAGAATGAGGAAAGAAGAATGAAAAGAAGAAGAAAAGAAGAAGAATGAAAAGAAGAAGAATTCCAGTACAGCAAAAAGTGTATCTGCAGAGAGCTCCGCTATTTCTGACAGTTCTCTGACAGTTCCTTCACATTTACAGCGGTTGAAACATTGTATCTATTTATTTCCGAATAAAAACATCTGTATCCTAAATGGAAACAAATAGATACAATGTTTCAACCGCTGTAAATGTGAAGGAACTGTCAGAAATAGCGGGAAAAATTTGATTCGTGCATCCGAAGTTTGCTAAAATTCGGATTCGGTGCGAATCGAATTTTTCCTAATATTCGAAACGAATTCCACTTCGCCAAGTTCGATTCGCTCATCTCTATCCTGCATTTCACCAGCGATCTACTGATTTCTGGTGCAATGCTTTCCAGGCTCCAAAAAAAAAATAGTAAATGGAAATATAAAATATAAATATATATATATATATATATATATATACATACAGCACACTGTTAACCTTTTGCCTCAAATGTTAATCCCTTCCTGCCCAGTGTCATTAGTAGAATGTCAGTGCTTTTTATTAGCACTGACCACTGTATTAGTGTCACTGGGGATGTCATTCAGCGTCAGTTCTCACCCAGTGTCAGAATGCTCGCCATAAGTTGCTGATCGCCGTCATTACTAGTATTAAAAAAGAAAAAAAAAATTACTGTATATACTGCCATTTATAGGACACTAACTTTCATGTAAACCAATTAATATACACTTTTTGGGATTTATTTTTAGCAAAGACGTAGCAGAATACATTTTGGCCTAAATTTATGAAGAAATTTTGTTTTTTTAAAATGGTTTTTATTGGATATGTTTTACAGCAAAAAGTCAAAAACGTGTTTTTTTTTTTTTTTTTTTTTTTTTTCAAAATAGTCAGTCTTTTTTTGTTTATAGCACAAAATAAAAGCAGGGTGATCAAATACCACCGAAGCTCCTTATTTGTGGGGAAAAAAATGACATAAATATCATTTATGTACAGCATTGCATGACCGCGCAATTGCCAGAGTAATGCAGCGCCGTATAGCAAAAAATGGCCTGGTCAGGAAGGAGGGCAAATGGCTAAAGGTGAATGTACCCTTTAACTGAGCGGACACCGGAGTTTGATTTGGCTGCTTGGCATACGCTTGTACTGAGCACCCAAGTGCTTCTGTGTAACCTGAAGGAATACGTTTTTTTTTTTTTTTTTTTTTCTGTTTATTTAGGCCGGCTACACATTTACTCGCTCAGCAGATGTGCTTCTGCTGAGTGTTAAGAGAGCCCAACACTCCCGTTTCCTGCAAGGTCTCTACCCTCCCTGCTAGTCCCTGGGTGTGGTGCTGGAGACAGGCAGGGAGGTGAGTAGGAGATAAACAGGAGATAAAAAAAAAATGTAATTCCCGATAAAGTCCCAAGTAGCTTGTTATGAGAGATGGGAAGTAGATTGGGAGTCCGATTTTTGTCCCTTGGACAAGTAATTTTTAAAAAATTTCCACACCCCCTGGTACTGTAGTTTGTAAACTCTAACTTTCACACAGACTAAATAATATACACTGATTTGGGCTATTTTTACCAAAGAAGTGTTGCAGATTAAACTTTGGCCTAAGTTTATGAAAGATTACTAATTTGCAAAATTAAATTAAAAAAAAAGTGTCTTTTTTTTTATCAAAAAGTTCAGTATTTTTTCATATAGCAAAAAATAAAAATTCCAGTGGTGAATAAATATCAGCAAAAAAAGCTCTATCTGTCTCAAGAAAAATGCTGTGTTGCATGACCTGAGTAATTGTCTGTGAAAGTGTTTAACATATACAGTCAGTTTTACCTGACCCCCCCCCCCCCCCCCCCCCCGTCATTCGTCTCTTCAGTACACGTAAATTGTAGGTTTTTTTTTTTTTTTTTTTTTGTCATGTATTAATCAGATTTTTCCTTTCAATCCCAAACAGCTGATTTGAAGAGGACAATTGCAGTTCTTCTGGGAGATATCCTGGAACGCCTCGGGAAGCTAGAAAACAAAATTGACTATTTTATTGTGAATGGATCATCCAGTAACAGTACTAACAGCACCACTGGGAATCCAGTTTTAACTACTAGCAAACGCATCCCAGCCACTGGAAAGAGATGATATCAACAAAGAAACCAAGTATTCCTTGCCAAGCTGACCGAAAAGATTCCACCACAACCTCTCCAGCTATAATAATGGGTATAATAAACTGTTATTTCAAGAGCTTTAATATGAGGAAAGACTGCGCTAATGTCAAGTGTTTAGCACTTGTCACAATTTAAGCATACCTGGCCATATTTTTTTTTTAACAATAGGGTATGTTTTCTATATGAGTGAATTTTATTATTCTGTTTTAATTTGCTCTAGATTATATACTTTAGTACTGTTTACTGATAACAGAAAAGAAAATATTTTGAACCTGTTGTACAGAAGTGTATACTTGTAGTATAATATATTTTGCTACTCCAGAGTGTTTTATGTTTAAAGAATAAGTGCACTTTAAAAAACCCTTAGCCCTGAGTTATTAAGCTGTGATAGCATTTAAGGTACTTGCAGCAGTTCTTACAGTTAGGTTGGTGTATGGGGAGCAGTGAAACCACTAGTTTTTACTGCCCACTGGCCACTTATGTGAACAAGGCCTTAAAGTGGTTGTCAACCTCAGACATGAAATCTGAACAAAGCATATCTCTTTATAGTGAGCACTTTTTTCAATCCAGAGCACTGTAATTTCTGTGTCTGCTGCTTTGTTCCTCTGCTATCTGCGTGAGTCACTTCTGACAAGTTTTCCTGACGCCAAGAGAAAAAAGGTGACATGGGAGGGAGTTCCAGCACACAGCCTGTGATTGGCAGTCTCAGCTCTGTTCCTGTGTGAAGGTGGGTTTGTCCCTTCCCTCCAATCTGGTCTCACTGAGCTCTGCAGAGTGTAACTTCAGCTCCCCACCCCCACCTTCTGAAAAAACTATAAAGCCCCCAATAAAAAGATGGCTTAAAGAACGCCTAGTGTCACTGTAGTGTCCTCTGCCCCCGTTCACTCCCCCCCATAGGAGTGTCCTCTCTCCCTTCACATCACAACCCCCCCCCCCCCTTCACTGTAGTGTTTTCTTCCCCCTTCTCATACCCCCCCCCCCCTTTCACATTGTATTGTGCTCCCCCTCCCCCATCCATCCCATGGCAGTGTCCTCTGCCCTGTACACCCAAAGCAGTGTCCTCTTGCCCCCATAGCAGCATTCTCATCCCCCCCAGCAGTGTACTTTGCTCCCCTAACATAATCCACTGACACAAACACAGCACTGTTTAGGTAAGAATCCCCCTACCTCTTTAGAAGGGATGTACAGACAGCAAAGCAAAGAGTGGACGGAGTGTGGGAGCAGGAGCAGCAGGAGTTAAATTTTCATATCAACAAGCTGGTGATTGGTTAGTTGCTAATACTGCCCAACTTCCTAGCAACCAATCACATCCTTGTTAACTGCAGCAGCTCCCGCCCTCCGTCCAGTACTGTATTGTCTCCCGCTCTCATCTCTGCTGTGAAGATGAGGAAGGTGAAGGCTGAGGGGAAGGACTGGCAAAGCTGCGTTCGTGTTCCACCTGTCGGCTGCCCGGGGTCCACAGGTAGATCGCAGTTGACGGGTTGCCGACCACCAGTGTTTAAATTCTGTACCTTAAATGGATGTAGAGAAGAGAATACTGGAGATAAAAAAGTACAACGTATGTAAGAGGATTTGTTTTGCTGTCTCTCACCTGAAGCTAGTCACTTCACTAGGTACATGTTAGAATTTGCAACCACTTTAAAGTGCACTCCTAAACTGGCTTTTTAGCCAATAATATGATGTTTTTTATGCCTTGGGCACCATTTAGCACTGCGTAAGTGACAATGCAGCGTTCTGCATCGAGGACCTTCACCCATATAACATCTAGACAGCAAATCAAGCATGTTTGCAAGGCTTATCCTTCTGCTTTTCTCTTCTTTCCCTTTTAACCACTTCCTGACCGGCCGTTGTATATAAACGGCCGGAGGGTGGCAGTGCAGGGTTGGGTGGCCGTTTATAAACGGCCTCCCCACACCCTGCTTGTGCGCGCTCCCTGGAAGCGCGCAGCACCGCGATCCGGTGCCCACGGTGTCCCGGACACAGTGAAACACTGATCGTCGGACGGGACCTCTGTACGGGACCTCTGTACGAGGTCCCTATCATGTGATCACTGATTGGCCAAGCAGTGATCACATGCAAAGTAGCAAGCAAGATGTCACTTGTGACATCATTGCTTACTACGTGTGAATTCTGTGAATGATCACAGAGGTCACATGGTACAAGGCTATTCACAACAGCCTTGTACCATGTGACAAGCTGTGACCAATCACAGCTCATTCTGTATTTCTCAATGACTGCAAGAATGCAGACAGAGAGAAAGAGAAATGATTGCTTTTACACCCATATGGGTGTAAAAGCAATCAGTGTAGAAAAAAAAAAAAAAACCTTCATCACCCCCCACAAGTAGTAAAGTGTCACCATGGTGACACTGTACTGCTAGGGGGACAGTATGTAGAAAAAAATAAATAAAAATAAAAAATAATTTTAAAATTATAATAAACTAATTTGGATTTTTTTTTTTTTTTTTTTTACTAAAAAGATAACGGAATACATTTTGGCCAAGATTTATGATGAAATATTATTTATTTGCAAAATTTAAAAAAAAACAAACCACTTTTTTCAAAATTTTTGGACTTTCATTTACATAGCAAAAAAAATAAAAATCCCAGCAGTGAATAAATACCACCAAAATAAAGCTTTATCTGTCTCAAAAAAAATGGTAAAAAAATTATTTGGGTACAGTGTGGCATGACCGCGCAATTGTCATTCAAAGTGTGTAGTGCTGAAAGCTGAAAATTGCCCTGGTCAAGAAGGGGTAAAAGTGTCCGGTCTGGAAGTGGTTAAGAGCAGTGCTAGAATCTTCAAGGGTCCTTCTAGGTTAGATTTCCTTTTATTTACCTAAAGCCAAAACTGGTCAGGATTTTTTTTTTCTTTTTTTAACATCTGTGTTCCATTTTGATTTCTCTTCACTTCCTGTCCTATACACACAACAATATGTTATTGTAAAGCTCTCCAAAGTAAGGGAAATCCCTTCTTGGACAGTTGTCACCAGAACATAATGTCCCCATTGGAAGATTTTCTCTTTATTCCTGTTAAGCCTTTCTACTCATAGTGACTGTGATCACCAGGACAAATAGAGAGGGTGGGGACACAGACAACACCGAAATCCGGACAGAGGTTCTAACTCATCACCACCTAATCCGAAGCATAACAGTCCACATACACTTGGATCTCCCACCAGTGTCTAGGGCACTACATTGTTTGCCTTATGGGATTTTGTACCTGATGGAAGCTGCATCTTCTCATTGCTGGTTAATACACGAAGTGGGGTGTACGTAGATGTTTAAAGTCCCTTTCTGTTCTACCTCCCAAGCATCCCTATTGGTCCTCTAATGTCATGGTCAACCTCATTAAACTATAGGAAAGCTAGGGTTGAGATTTGCATACAATTTCAGCTGTCTGTATATATGAATCTGACTATGTTTTTTTTTTTTTCTGAATCCAGTCTGCTTTTGAATTTTTTTTTTTTTTTTTTTTTTCCTGCTATATTGGATGTTTTTTTTCTTTCCTTGAGGCTTTGAATTAACAAAATATGTGCATCAGCATAACACTGATAATTTGTATCTGAAAAGTACACTTATCCTTTAAAAACAAAGATTTCTTGAACGTGTGACCCAAAGAATGTATTTATTTGCACTATTTGTTAATGCATAACCATAGAAGACTTGCTGTACTGCTTATTATTTTTATGAGCTCACGTGACAAATAAAAGGAAAATTGCAGGTTGTCATATTTTAACGAGATCTGACATTTGAAACGTCTCAGTTACGAAATAATGTCTTTATAGGTGACTCAATCTGTATGTGTGCGTATATATGTATATTATTAATATAAAGGATTTATATAGCGCCAACAGTTTGCTCAGTGCTTTACAATATAATGGGAGACAATGCGGGGGCCTGCTCCTTGGAGCTTACAATCTAGGATGGATATATATACATACACACACAATATATATATATATATATATATATATATGTGTGTGTGTGTGTGTGAAACTCGAACAATTAGAATATCGTGCAAAAGTTAATTTATTTCAGTAATGCAACTTAAAAGGTGAAACTAATATATGAGACTCATTATATGCAAAGCAAGATAATTCAAGCCGTGATTTGTCATAATTGTGATGATTATGGCTTCCAGCTCATGAAAACCCAAATCCACAATCTCAGAAAATTAGAATATTACATGCAATCAATAAAACAAGGATTGTACATAGAACAATATCAGATCTCTGAAAAGTATAAGCATGCATATGTACTCAGTACTTGGTTTGGGCCCTTTTTCCAGCGTGGCATGGAAGCTATCAGCCTGTGGCACTGCTGAGGTGTTATGGAAGACCAGGATGCTTCAATAGCGGCCTTCAGCTCTTCTGCATTGTTCGGTCTCATGGCTCTCATCTTTCTCTTGGCAATGCCCCATAGATTCTCTATGGGGTTCAGGTCAGGCGAGTTTGCTGGCCAATCAAGCACAGTAATCCCACAGTCATTGAGCCAGGTTGAGCCTGGTACTTTTGGCAGTGTGGGCAGGTGCCAAGTCCTGCTGGAAAATGAAATCAGCATCCTCATAAAGCTCGTCTGTGGAAGGAAGCATGAAGTGCTCCAAAATCTCCTGGTAGACAGCTGCGTTGACCCTGGACTTAATGAAGCACAGTGGATCAACAACAGCAGATGACATGGCTCCCCAAATCAACACAGACTGTGGAAACTTCACACTGGACTATGGGTCCCTGGTTTTCAAATGAGATGCAAACGTTGCTCTCATCAGAAAAGAGGACTTTGGGCCACTGAGCAATAGACCAGGTCTGTTTTTTCTTTAGCCCAGGTAAGACACTTCAGACCTTGTTTTTTGTTCAGGACAGGAGCGGCTTGACGAGGAATACGACATTTAAAGCCCATGTCCAGGATCCGTCTGTGTGTGTGTGTGTGGTGGCTCTTGATGCACTGACTCCAGCCTCAGTCTACTCCTTGTGAA